GTTATTTCCCATGACACTATATAATCATATATAGGGGGTAGGGGTTAGTCTGTGCCTTGCCCCTGTGATATGGGATGTTATTTCCAATGACACTATATAAGCATGTATAGGGGGTGGGGGTTAGTCTGTGCCTTTCCCCTGTGATATTGGATGTTATTTCCCATGGCACTATATAAGCATATAAAGGGTGTGGGGTTAGTCTGTGCCTTGTCCCTGTGATATGGGATGTTATCTCCCATGACACTATATAAGCATCTATAGGGGGTGGGGGTTAGTCTGTGCCTTGCCCCTTGTGATATGGGATGTTATTTTCAATGACACTATATCAGCATATAAAGGGGGTGGGGGTAAGTCTATGCCTTGCCCCTTGTGATATGGGATGTTATTTCCCATGACACTATACAAGCATATATAAGGGGTGGGGTTAGTCTGTGCCTTACCCCTGTGATATGGAATGTTATTTCCCATGACACTATATAAGCATATATAGGGGGCAGGGGTTAGTCTGTGCCTTGCCCCTGTGATATGGGATGTTATCTCCCATGACACTATATAAGCATATAAAGGGTGTGGGGTTAGTCTGTGCCTTGCCCCTGTGATATGGGATGTTATTTCCCATGACACTATATAAGCATATATAGGGGGTGGGGGTTAGTCTGTGCCTTGTCCCTGTGATATGGGATGTTATTTCCCATGACACTATATTATAAGTTATATAGTCAGTTACTGACCCTCTACAGAACCATAGAGGGTCAGTAAGATTTATAGGGGGCGAGGGCGGAGCCCGAGCCTCCTATACGTCTTACTGACCCTCTATGGTTCTGTAGAGGGTCAGTAACTGACTATATAACGAATTTATCGCATCGATAACCCTTTTTGCTTAAAATGAAATTTATGTAATGCATAACAAAACAATATGAATATTTAACAAATTTAATCAACTTTGATAAATGAAAATAAAATAAAATAAATTATATAACAAAAACATAACATGTTACAGTTTGTTTGTCCTTGGAACAAGATATCACACAGATCGTTAACATTTTCTCATTTGTTAATTGTGAGGTACCCGTATCTGTTGTTTTAATTTTGAAGCGGTGATAAATGCATTCTTTAAGTTTACAGTGCAAGTTAAACGCTTTCAATCAAAATAAAAAAATAAATTGTTCTGGTTTTGAGATGTTCCTCTGTGACTTTCTCTTCCAGCTATCGTTTGGAAGGAAGCGCTGACATTTTAGCTTGTGTTTGCTTGGTATTGAATATGGTTCTCCGTGGGTATAAAATACATTATACAATTGACCGTCTTGCAATTCAGTACACCGCGCACCCTGGTCGACAACCGATATCAAAATCAAACGTACTTACCTGGACACTCTGAAACCCCACGGAGCTGGTTTGTTACCTCTTTGACGTTATCGGAAATTGGGTATCCAAACTAAAAGAAATATCACTGAAAAACACCAATAATCCTGAGGGGCAGGGATTACGGATTGACTATTTTAATTGATCGTTTATTACTAATATTTGCACTTCTTCTGAGATAAATGATATGATTGATGTCTTCCATTTCCATATTCTGTAACTAATCTGGTGAAAATTATTGGTTTATAATCGTCAGTGTTCTATGTATTGTAATGTCACCACGCACACAGACCGGTACATTCTAAAATGTTTGCGTTTCCTTAGATACGGCGGCAGCCAGAAAAGATAGTCACTATGTAGGGACCATTTCAAAACCATAAAAAACCTACATTTTTTTAAATCTCGATTGAAAGCTTTTAACTTACACTGTCAACTTTAAATCAGAACTTTTGCTTGATGTGGCGAGAACGTTATTGAAGACTCTATTTTTTCAGTTGGTTACTCTGCATGCTGCTCGATGCCGGAAGCGAACGAGGAAGTGCATATGGTGTGCGGTAACTGTGATCTAAACGTTGTTCCGAATGGATCACCCGTAAACACAACGTTTCTAGATATTTCGTTGAATGAAATCAGAACATTTTATAACTACACGTTTAAAAATCGAAATGATCTCAAATCCTTAATTCTTAATACTCATAATTTAAACCATATTCACAGAAACGCACTCGACAGACTTTCTCATCTGAAGACACTAAATTTACATAATAATTCACTAAGAAGTAGCATTAATGATGATGTATTTTGTCCCCTTTCGAACTTAACTCAGCTTGATTTGAAACGTAACCTTTTCCACTTGGATAGAATTGATCCTGAAAATGCCTTGGCCTGTGTAAGAAGTATGCAATCCCTCTATATAGATGTTTTTGACGGTTTCAATTTTGGAGACGCGTTTAAAAAATTAACGTATCTTAATGCTGTAGATTTCCTTGGCAGAGGAAAAATATCAATAAAAAAAATCATCATTTCTTGGACTGCTTAAGTCCCCTATTGAACATTTAATGTTATCTTTTGAAGTAAAAGAAATTCAGATAAACGCACTTTCACCCTTTCTGAATTTGCGATATTTAACTATTGATTCTTCAAACAATATAGACATTATGTCCGTGCTGGCAGGACTTCACGGATTACAGAACAGAACCATGGAATTAGTTGAAATTAGTGGAAATGCAGCGGAATATTCACCTGCCGTCATTTTACAACAGACGGATTTTATACACTTAAAGACAATGTGTGTTAGGAAGTTGTGTCTGGGCAGAAATGGAATACCTGGCGTGCCAATGAATCCAATTTTGTCATGGACTAGTATAATATGCTTAACAGTCTTGGATGTGTCCAACAATACATTTATTTCTGGCCAGATATTAACATTACTGCCATTATTTCCAGCATTTACATATTTATTTGAATCAAGTGAGAAAATATATAAAGAACGTCGACTCGTTACATTCATAGGACGAAAACTGTGTTTGTTCCCAGTAGCCTCCTCTCTATCAACGCTTCGTATAGCTCTTTGAATGGAGACATGCCAAACTTTTGCTGAAGGGAACAATATTGGTGTAGTTGATGTAAGTTATCCTGGAATGTTTTGCTGTTCTAGAGGTCTCTTGAAGGGATTGGTACAGTTGACTGAATTATATATGTCAAAACCAAACCGTCTAATGTTCTCCAGCATGAAAAAACTGTCGAAACTGAAGGCGATCAATTGTAACCCCGGACAAACATTGGTTAGTCATTCAAAATCGTTATTCAAAGGATTAAATAACATGACTTCTATAGACCTGACAAACAATCATCTGAAACATATAAACAATTTACCCACCACACCGACTCATTGAAACCCTAATTCTTGCCCAAAATGATATTGAGCGCGTGCCAATTCAGATCTTAGAGAGTATGTCTGTTCTGGAGATTGGTCTAGGACACAATGCAAGTGCTATGTGGAAAGTCACAATAATGTTATCGAACAAAACTAACCTTACCTGTTTAACAGCAGACGGTCATCTTGTAGAAGTAAATGTATTGCTAGATACAATGACTGCCTTCCCAGAAAGCTGTGAATAAGGGTACTGGCTGAAAGTATTACTGATTCTGTTTTGTTTCTTTCTGACAACTGGTGTGATAGTATATGTCATCCAGAAGAAAACATGTTACTGGATGCTGCGAAAAAAGGCTGAGGTAATACAATTTGAATATGACACTTTTGTAGCATACTCCCACCACGATTGCAGCTGGTTCAAACAATACCTCGCTCCAGTATTGGAAAGGAGGGGCATAACTTTTTGCTGCTATGATCTTAATTTCGAAGCTGGAAAATCCATAGTAGATAATATAACAGATGCTATAACCTCTTCACGCAAAGTTTTGTTTTTGGTATCATATGATTTCATTCACAGTGAATGGGGAACATATGAGATGGGCATAGCTAGTAAATTCGCATTTCGAGATGGGAGAGAGCATATGAATATTACAATTTTTCTTGAAAATATCAAACGCAGTGAAATGCCAAGGGTTTTACGCAATATTTGGGACAGGGTTGTTTGTTTGCAATGGCCACGTGATCATTAAACCACAGAAGAAGATCTGCAGTCTGCGAGACAACGCGTCTGGAAAAAGTTGTCAAAATCGCTATGGAAGGGAAATAAACATATTGACTTGAAAAACCGAGACCCAGCTTTATAGCTACAGAATATATGAACTTAAATATATGTAGAAGGGAATTGAACGTGATAAACCATCCATTTTTTAAAACCTTGATATATATATAGTATATGTCTTTTTGGCGGAACCTTTTAAATCACACTTTGTTAGGACAAGGTAGGAATGTTTAAAAGTTCGATATTTTTCATAAGTGATTTTGTCGAAGGGTTGATGATAAAATTAATGGAAACGCATATTGTCATAAATATTTGTCTTCCTAACATAATCGTTCAATCGCAGCTGTGACAGTCGACGTAGACATCAATAACAAGAGATGTGGTCGAAATCAATCAGAGGACTACCGTGTTAGTTTCTTCTCTGTTAACTGGTTCTGAGCAGCTGTTACTCTGAAAGATAAGAGAGAGACAACCCAAATAAAAGGATGCATATGTGACATAGAACATGTCGTTATACGTGCTCTCAGACGTTGTAGCGTGCTTCGTTGTGAAAAATCTACACGTGTATGTTCTCTCTATATAAAACCGACATATTTGTACCATGTACTAAAAACAAACTTAACATATGATGCCCAGAACACACAAAGCAAAATCTGGATAATCGTATGATTTTTTATGAGGAAGTTAGTTATAGGCAAAAATGTGTTTCACATGAAATGAAAAAAAAGGATATTTCAGGAGAAATATATATATACATAATGCTACTTCGAAAGAAATAATCAATCCGCTACGTGTCCACGTGAAGTAATCATGTGTAAGGAGACTGTCTGTCACACCTGGACTGAGGAGAAGACAACGTGATCATATGCATTTGTTTGATCATGAATGTTGCATGAAGTATAGATGGGTTCCATGTAACAACTACTACTGCACATTATGACACATTTGTAAGTACGTATGGACCTACTCTCACTGTAAGTACGTATGGACCTACTCTCACGGTAAGTACGTATGGAACTACTCTCACGATGCATAGTTGATGGGAAAAGGAAACGTTTTAGACAGGATTGTCGGTAAAGAGACTGACATATCGTGCATAGGCAAGTATGATTGAATAAGCTTTGAGATATTTCGGGGTGGGGGNCTAAGTAAGCACAAATAATTTTAGATTATAAAAATGTTCCAGGAGTTTAAAAAACCCATATCCTTTTTCATTTGATATAATTTACTATCAAGTCAATGATAGTAAATTCAAATGTATGTTTAGGAACCTTTCTCGGAAGAATATTATGATAACGTAAATGGTATTGTTGCTATATATATATTGTTTACTCGTCAATATGTATTATGAGAGTACGATATACAGTTCTGTCCTACTATCCTCACTTCATTGTCACAAGAAATTAATTTCAGCGATTATACGCAAGGAGATTTAAAAGTTAATAAAACATTCAACAAATATTACACGAAATTCCATAGATAAGTAATACAATTTACAATATATATTTTGAATATGCATTTCTTTGAGCAAGTATTTAGCTGGTTCCTGAGCGCGCAGCCTTTACTTGGTCAAACTGTATTGATGACCCTAATGGTTTTCACGTGCTCGCCAGGAATCCGTTGTAGATATGCTGTAGACCATTTTTCTGCTTTAGGTTAGACTAAATTTTGAATTATCTAAGAGTAGTTATTTTAAAAAGAAATATTATTTACCGAAAGACGTACACGTAATCTCATTAAAATGCATTTTTATTTTTGTCCAAGCATTGCACATGGAATTGCACATCATAAGTGTCAATTTGCATCTAAAATTTGATAAGCATATTTGTGTACTATACAGCTTTTACCGACCATGATTACTGACCAATATACGAATGTTCCAGTTGTACTCTGGCAAGAAATATTCGATGGAATAGCATAGATTATCTCGACTTGATAAACAAAATCTCGTGGAAATTAGAAACACTGACACCAAATATAACATTTTCTTAATGTTAAGAGATGTTTTGACAGATATATTGAGAATGTTTTGTCCTTTCAGATAACTCAAGATGCCACGATTATATCTGAAGAAGAGTGTAATCAAATTGTGTATAGTGAGTTCCTTTGTGTGGTTTTTCTGGAATTTTGTTTATCGTGGTGAAGTGGGAGACGTGACTGATAATAATAAATTACCTAAGTTTGAAGTAGAAATGGGACAATCAAATCAACCTGATCCAAATAAAGAACAAAAGGGTAATGTGCTGACGGAACATATTCTTCGGAACATGGAAAATAACGAAGGTTTGGTCTTTAAAGCCATGCCTCCACAGCCAGGAAATGTTATTTCAAACAAAAAAGCCGAAGAGCTAGCCTAAAGTGTTCCACACGAACAACAACGAAATATTCCGAATGGAAATATTGATTTAGATGACGAAAAGGAGAATATAGCTAACTTACCAGGTGAGCAAATGAGTAACTTTTTAATTTTCTTTTACAAAGAAAAAGTAATAATTGATACATACAATGTAATCCAAATAATACATATAATACAAGTACTGACATATCCTTTCCTAATTATACTACTTAAAGTTAAAATTGTCCCTTGAATTGATTAATGTAATAATGTAACAATAAAAAATATCTGTTCTCTGTCATAAAAATCCATATGACCTTTTAAGATGATAACGTTTATGAAGGGGTAATAAAACCATGCCTACACGACCTAGATCATACGTAACTATGTTTATTGAAATGAGGTTCTTAATGTTGCCCAGGTCTCAAATATTGTAAATACAATCAAACAATCTAAAATACGTATATCATTGTCACATAAATATAATTACAGGGATGCAAGTATGGTAAACTCAGGATTTATGTTTAACATGTAAAAATTGAGAAATATCGAAAGCAATTTCGTTAAGTAATGTGGGTTTAAAATTGCTTTTCAAGACAACTTTGTGTGAAAAATGAAAGTATAATGGGATTTATTTTTCAATTTTTCATAGGTGAGTTAGGGAGGGGCGTTGACATTGATGTCAAGACACTGACATCAGAGGAAAAGAAAAAGTATAAAAGAGGATGGAAAAACAACGCCTTTAACGAGTATGTCAGTGATATGATCTCGTTAGACAGATCAATAGAGGATAATCGAGATCCCGAGTGAGTTAAGCCATATGTGTATTTTCGATTTTTGATATTTATTACTTATTTTATATATTTATATAATTCATGTTACCTAAAAAGGGGTAATCGATTTGAGTGAACCTAACATAGAAGTCATAACATCTAGGGGGAAAGACAATAATTCCATACCAATAGCATCGCAAATAGTAAATCAAAATAACATTTACCTTTTCAGGTGTAAAACAATGGTATATAGCAACAATCTGCCAGACGCCAGTGTCATTATTACATTTCACAACGAGGCTTGGTCCGTGTTGCTAAGGAGTGTACATAGTATTATAAACCGAACCCCTCCGGAATTATTAAAGGAGATCATCCTTGTGGATGATTTCTCCGATATGCGTAAGTATATGCTGATCTCTATAAAACGATATATCAAATCCAATCAAATATCACGACACTTAGAACAAATATATCTCTAGTAACATCTGGTTATACAAAATGCTAATAGTTATACTAGTAGAACTTATTACCATTACCACTCGTTAATTCTTTTTGAAATAATACAGTTAACTCTGTCTAAAATGACCTCCACACAGTTAGATACCCTCGGACTCTACCGTAAAAAGTTCACTTCCGATAAGTTATGGATACAAATAAAAGAATATAAGAAGCATTTAAGTCGTTGCTTTATTGTTTGAATGCAGGTTTTTATCGTTCAATTTGGGCTTCAAATAGTTTCGAAAGCCCAACTGTCCAAAGTTGAAATTTCATAATGTTATGTGTTTGACTGCAATATTTGACATGCATGTATATTAAAAACAGAAACAATATTGAAAGAAATTATTCACAAACACATGTTATATATCAGATTTGTAAACAACATTTTCATTTTACAAAAGGCAACAAAAGAGAACGTTTCGAAGTCACATATAGTTTTATCAATACAATGAGTCTGGACAACTAATTAGTAAATGTGCTTGGTACTTCAGTTTGTCTTGATAAACTTCTAATTTCTCATATCTTGTTACATAATTGTTTTTGCGAAATATGATTTTCACTATTGTTTTGATCTCAGAGGAAGTTAAAAATCTCTAAATTTTAGAATATTGGTCTTGTGTTCGGTGTCAACAACCAATATTCGGATATGTTGCAACTGTAAGATATTAACATGTCCGGTCTTTTGCAATAAAAACAAATAAAACATTGTTGTAAATGTGTGAGGTAACTTCATCGTAAAACAAATCTAATGTATTATTTCATTTTTAAAATAATTTAGCTTTATAGAACCTGTCACATTGTATTACCTGACAAGTACATTGTCCTGCCGTTCTAACAGTAGTACTCTCTTCATCTGTTGGTGAAACGTTAATGTTTCATATACATGTAAGTCATTGCTAATTGTATTTTTAAAGCACATTTGCATGCTCCACTAGAGGAGTATATGAGTCGATATGGAAAGGTGAAGATATTGAGAGCTAGCAATAGAGAGGGGCTTATCAGATCAAGACTTCTCGGATATAATAGCGCCTCTGGAACTGTGCTGGTGTTTCTTGATTCCCACATAGAATGCGCGGACGGTATGTATATATGTCAATTTGTTTATATATTTCTATAATTAAAAGGTGAAATGTCCATGTGAAGTAGGTAAGCACAGAAAAAATAATATCAAACGACAGACTTCAAAACTAGTAACTTCACTTTTCAAAGATCTGTTTAGGTTATTTCTAAATGACAACATCATGACCTCTCAACTACATGTCTTAATATTACAATTGTAACGTGACGTCACAATTTATACAACGTGTGTGGACTATCGCAAAATTTTATTGTGGCCTAATGATACTAGGTTTTAATATTTTTTATGAAATGGTGTTCTTTTGTTTCTCTTAGAAAAGTGTCGGATGAATATAATTGAAATAAAGGTAATACGTAAAGTTGATCTTAGGCACATTCTTGAGTATGTTTAAGAAACATGTAGATTTCGTACATATTCGGTTTGAGTTTGTTGTTTATGTGCAGTCAAGCGTTTTCTGAGTCACTTGCTTGTTTGATGATGTAAAAAACCACCACATTTAGAAAAAATATTATACAAATTGCGTTTTCTGTTTTACAATTCATTTTAAATTTCAAACTATTTTTAAAGATAGAAGTATTACATATGATAGCACAGGACGTGTACCGTACCTTGCACTTGGATACTTCTGATGTTACAAAGGTTTGATCATTCTTGTGTTGCATGCATGCATATAATATTTTTATATGATTATGAAATGTATACGATGCCACGTTTGGTAATTGCTCTATTGCAGGAGATAATATTAGGGCTTCATATCTTGTTTCATTGAATATATGATGATGAAATATTCGAATGTCACATTAAGTCTGGGTATGTATGATGCTGAACAGTAAGGATTCCCTTTACGTCTGTTTATGAATGCTGATGAAATGTAAGGGTGTCACATTTTGCTATTTCAAAATATGATGATGAAATTGTAAGTGTGTCACAGACCTGTCTGGTTATGTATGATGATGAAGTTTTTCATTGTGTCTGCTAACATATGACAGTGAAATTGAAGGGTGTGTCGTTTCTGTATTTAAGTATGACAATGAAACGCAAGAGTTATAGAGTTTGTCTGTTTATGCATAATAATAATGAAATGTTTCATATTTTGTCTGCTGCTAAACCAAACCATGTCACAGTATATTTATGTCAACAGGCTGGATTGAGCCACTTCTAGACCCCATCGCTCGTGACAAGACAATCTCAGTTACACCAATAATCGATGTTATCGATGATATAACATTTCGCTACGAAATTGGCAAAGCAAGACATGTACAAGTGGGTGGTTTCGATTGGTCGTTGACGTTTACTTGGCACGTTATACCAGCGTCTGAGAGAGCACGTCGCAGTTTCAAAGACTATCTACCTGCCAGGTAAATAACTTATAGTGTATACTAATGTGATAGGAAATGAAAATTCTGGACTGTCGCTTTAACTTATTAAGCTATCTGGTGGCTGCGATCGACCGGTCCAGTTCCGCTACATTTCTCCCTCATCCATAACAATATCTTTGACCCCGAAGAGACGCGATACCCTTGATATGAACCACCTCCCGCCCGTGACTCAATTTAGTTGGATGCCAACTCTAACAAGAAACGAAAACTGCACTGTCAGACAGGGATTCAGGCCAGGGGCCTCCAAACTTTAGACTGACTCTCTAACCAAATGAGCTACATTGCCGCCAGCGAATGACCCTATTCCGTCTTTGCGTATTGCAGAGTTATCTTCTCTTGAGAGCAAGTATTGATTGTTACGTCGTTGGTTTGTGTGAGAAAATTACGTCGTTTTCTCAAAAATTGATGACGTTACTCTCAAAAACAAATGACGTAACAATCAATACCTGCTCTCAAGAGAAGATAACTCTGCAATACGCAAAGGCGGAATTCCTGATCTGTTACAATAATGAAAACACACCAAGGAATGAGGTATGGACAGGTTTACTTTGCAGGAGAATACCCTCGAAAGTTTCAAATGTAGTATGATAGTTTCGTGTTATTCTATAAATAATGTTAAGTTTATATTTCATTTTAATGGAGATATTGTTAGATAACATAAACAATAAAACAATGGTATTCTCTTTTTGATACACCCGTTTATGTCTTGACTTGTTATAATAGTGCGTTATTCTTCCGTCCCCAAGTCCAGACAAATTGTCCTTTGCTTAAACAATTGCTACCGTTAACAATGCAATGCAGATATTGAATACACAGGGATATTTTAAGTTACCTACGGTCTACTGTAGTTGACTTTACAAGACATATTCCGTTTTGTATATGAATCATATATATCGTATGCTATCCAACGACTTTTAAAGCCAGTTAGCTCTATCTTCACACTTTACATTTGTGTAGTAAGCAAATTACGATTTTATAATTGTACAGTTGAAAACTCCATCAAGAAAAAAAGAGGAATGGGCGTATGCTGTTCCCGAAGCACAAAATTGCAAATCGTCGTATTTAATTATTGACAGGTCTCCCACCATGGCAGGAGGGTTGTTCGCTATCAGTCGGGAATACTTCACACACCTAGGCACTTACGACGAGGGAATGAATATTTGGGGAGCAGAAAATCTTGAAATTTCATTTCGGGTAAGGAGATAGAAGCCACACTAACTGTCGAAGAAAACATCTTATTTTGCGTGTCCACATTATGCTAATAAACATGGTTAGACCATTGAGGAGTTAATAGAAACGATGTATCACAACCAAAAATTCACAAGGACAAAATCGCTCACACAGCGTCACATGAAGGAAACAACGGCAGATTGGGCAATACGGTGTTTCAGCAATGATTACGTGTTCGATATATGTATATTGTGATAACTAGGTGAACTATACTTCTCCCTATGTCTATTGTTAGATTTGGATGTGTGGAGGCACACTTCTGACCGCCCCTTGTTCACATGTTGGTCACATTTTCCGGAAACATTCTCCGTATTCATGGCCAGGAAAGAACATTCTGTTGCGCAATAACCTTCGTTTGGCTGAGGTATGGCTCGATGATTTCAAAACTTACTACTACAGTCGGAAATCTCAACAACAGGTAGGGTTCTTTTATCTTTTATTCATAGTTAAATGAACAGTATGCGTTTCAGATTTGACTGTCTTACACTGTATTTTGTGACGTAACTGTAGTGTTAGTGTGAACGAGCTGAGGAACAGAACTAAGCCCAGTCGACAAATTGGCAACATACCAGGTAACTGCGCCAGAGCAATTTAACTTTTCCAAACCGGAGGAATGGCAGCGGTGGCTCAAACGCTTTCAACGGTTTCGTCAGGCTTCAGGTCTGAGTGAGAAAACCGAAGAAACACAAATAAATACGCTTGTTTACACAATGGGAAGCGCGGCAGAGGACATTTTATCTTCACTTAAGCTAACGGCAGACGATAGACAGAAATATGACACTATTGAGGAAAAATTCAACACATATTTCGTAGTAAGGAGAAATACAATTTATGAGAGGGCCAAGTTTAATCAACGTAAACAGAACGAAGGTGAGTGCGTTGACACTTTCATTACATCCCTGTATCAACTAGCTGAACATTGTGGTTACGGAGATTTACATGATGAAATGATCAGAGATAGGATTGTTGTTGGTTTGAGAGACGAAAAATTGGCTGAAAAACTTCAACTTGATCCTAATTTGACACTCGAAAAAGCTGTCAATCAAGCTCGCCAAAGCGAGGCTGTAAAGAAACAACAATTCGTGGTTCGAAGTGACACACAATCTGATTCATCCAAATCATCTGTTGATGCTATACATGGCAAACGAGACAGACACAGCGGTGGTGCAAACAAATTCCCTAACTCTACACATAAACAAAACGCGGGGAGAGACTCACCACGGGGCGGTAAAGTGAAATATAACACACACAAAACAACACAGAAATCGTCATGTCCAAGGTGTGGGTATTCGCCAAATCACCCTCGCGAGAGATGTCCTGCTAAGGATAAAACATGCAGTAAATGTAAAAAGCGTGGACACTTCATAAAATGCTGCAAAACAAACATTGAAGAAATTTATTATGACTCTGAGCAGGATGAACCCCAGGAAGTTGTTTTCCTTGGGGAAGTTGGATGTGGAGATTCAAGTCCTTGGTATGTAAATGTGAAACTACAAGAGACACATGTAAAATTTAAAATAGACACAGGTGCGGATGTAACAGTAATTTCTAAGGAAGTCTACCGGAAGTGTAAGAACACTTAGCTACGTCCATCAGACAAAGTTCTACATGGGCCTGGACACAACAAACTCAATGTACACGGAATGTTTACATGCTCACTACAGATCAAAAACAAGTGTGTGGACCAGGATATCTATGTAATTGATGGTCTCCGACAACCACTTCTCGGACGAAAAGCTGTGGAACTTTTGGGTCTTGTCTCCAGAGTAGACGAGTTAGCTGAAAAACAAACTGATTTTAAGGCCAAATATCCAGACCTATTCACAGGATTGGGAAAAATGGAGGGAGAGTATCAAATTAAGCTTCGAGATGACTCTTTCCCTTTCGCACTTAGTACACCGCGACGTGTTCCGATACCACTCCTTCCCAAGGTCAAGGACGAGTTGACTCGCATGGAGGAACTAGGAGTTATTGCACGCATCGATGAACCCTCTGATTGGTGTGCAGGTATGGTAGTGGTACCAAAACCTAATGGAAAGGTTTGAATCTGCGTAGATCTGACATAGCTAAATGAGAGCGTTGAACGCGAAAAACATCCTCTTCCAGTAGTCGACCAGACTCTAGGACAGTTGGCCGGAGCAAAACTATTCACAAAGTTGGATGCCAATTCAGGATTTTGGCAAGTCAAGTTGTCTAAAGAATCGGCTAAGTTGACAACATTCATTACACCGTTCGGAAGATACCACTTCCGGAGATTGCCATTCGGAATTTCTTCCACTCCCGAACACTTCCAAAAGAAGATGTCTCAGATCCTCGATGGAGAGGAAGGCGTAATGTGCCAAACAGATGATGTACTCGTGTATGGTTCCGATAGGATGGAACATGATAAACGCGTTAACTCTGTACTTCGAAAACTCAGAAACGTAGGAGTTACACTTAACGACGAGAAATGTGAGTTTGCGAAAACTGAAATCAAGTTTGTCGGACATGTAATCAATGACGAGGGAATAAGTCCCGACCCAGATCGAGTACAGGCAATACAGGAAATGGATGCGCCTAAGGACATATCCGGTGTCCGTCGTTTCCTAGGTATGGTGAACCAACTAGGTAAGTTCTCGCCAAATCTCGCAGAGAAGACGAAACCTATTCATGACCTACTTAGTACCAAGAACATGTGGTTATGGGGTCCCACTCAGGAACAGGCGTTCTCTGATGTCAAAAGTGAGCTGTGTTCCAGCCCTGTGTTGGCACTTTATGACCCTAATAAAGAGACTGTTGTGTCAGCGGATGCGTCATCATTTGGGATTGGTGCGGTGATTACACAAATTCAGGAAAATGGTATGAGAAGACCAGTGGCATTCTGTTCTCGTGCAATGACGCCTACAGAACAACGGTATGCCCAGATTGAAAAAGAGGCTCTTGCTCTCACATGGGCCTGCGATCGTTTCAGTGACTACTTCAGACAAATCCAAGACATAGTGAACTCGTGTCGTGTCTGTGCTGAAACTAGAAATGATTCTTTGAACCTTTGATTCCGACTCCATTACCTATGAGACCATGGCAACGTGCAGGAACAGACTTGTTCCACTTCAAAGGAAGTAATTACCTACTAGTCGTGGACTACTTTTCGCGTTTCGTGGAAATAGCGAAATTGGACTCTACTTCGTCAGAAGACATTATTGTACATCTAAAATCCATTTTCAGCCGTCATGGCATAGTGGACATTCTGGTCTCTGATAACGGACCACAGTACTCGTCAGATGTGTTCAAACAATTCGCGCGTGACTTCGGGTTTGAACATGTAACCAGTACTCCGAAGTTTCCTCAGAGCAATGGGGAAGCGGAACGAGCGGTGCAGACGGTAAAGACACTGTTACGGAAAAATGCAGACCATTACGTTGCATTAATGTCTTATCGCGCAACACCGCTACAGAATGGCTATAGTCCCGCGGAACTCTGTATGGGGCGCCGTATCAAAACGAAACTACCCATTGGACCAAACCAACTTGTACCCAGTTGGCCTTACTTGGAGGATGTCCAGTCTAAGAAATCGGTTCAGTCTGAAAAGCAGAAAATCAACTATGACAAACGTCATCGTGTTAAGGATGAAACTGTGCTGAAACCGGGAGATCGCGTGTGGATCAAAGATTTCGCGACTCGGGGAGAAGTAGTTAAGCCTGCATTAACTCCACGTTCATATCACGTTCAAACTTCAAAGGGCATGATTCGCAGAAACAGACGTCATCTGGTTCCAACTTCCGGTCCAATGATCGCTGAATCGCCAGAACTGGATGATGACATTCCTATAACGGGAAGTTCAGTGGATGTAGACAAGGCTACCAATTGCGTCGTGTCCGCGTCGCGTCCAATTGACTGTGGAGGAACTAGTCGCATAAACCGTCCTCATGTCGCTGTCCATACAAGATCAGGGAGACTTTCTGTTCCACCTAAAAGGATGGACTTGTAAACAATGTGCTTTTTTATGTTCAGAACAGTGCTAACAGTTTCAGTGTTAATAGTTTATGGAACTTTAATAATTCTAGTCCTATGCAGTTCAGTTCCTTTATGTGATGGACATGTTTCAAAGATATTAGTTTTAAGATGTGTTTCTGGATATCATAGTTAATGATACAGATATTTCTAATNGTAACTATATCTCTCTGAGACGTATACTGTAAAAGTGGAAATTTTCGCGGTGTGTAAATGTTCGCACTTTTGCGTCGAGTAAATTAGCGCGAGAATCTCCCACATCAGAATCATTATTAAATGTCACAACATGGACATGTCAACCCCCCAAAAATACCCCTTGTTACAGTCTTCCATAACAAAATGATGAGATGAATATCTATTCTCTACAAGTAAATGATTCATATACAATGTATAGGTTAAATTAAGATATATCTATCTATAAATATAATCTTCGTTTCTATCGTTTTGGTAATGTAAAGGGTTCTCATGATCAAGTGAATGGTATCGGGCTTTACCAGCATTTAACTGGTCCTTTTATGTGTTTTAATATGGCAACACAAACAGTTTATATATTGCAACTTTAACATTAAAAGTTTGGGAAAACGTTCGTAAACTACGTGAGACTATGCAATACCCCCAGAACGTTAGGTCCGGATATCATAAATACTCAATGAAAAAAAGTTTGTATTTTTCTTTTTGTAAAATTAATATTTGAAAGCGTCTATTGGAAATCATATTAAAATCTTTGTGTTATTTGTTTAATAATTTGTTATTGAAAATATTCAGTATGATACTTAAGCGATACAATTTTACAAAAATCTGCCAAAGCAGCCGATTCTGTCGTCTCTCCATTGCATATTGCAAAGTAAAGCAGACGATCTAGTATCTCGTAGATCCTGCTATTTTGAATTTATATTGTAATTATTTCCATTTCATTTTCAACAGATAACTGAAACAGACTTTGGAGATATATCAGCGAGAATAGCTTTACGTAAACGTCTTAAATGCAAAAGTTTTGCATGGTATCTAAAAAACGTGTTCCCCGAAATATACATTCCAGGGAATTCTTTTGCATCCGGAGAGGTAATATTTCTTTCTTTCTTGTAAAACATAATTGTGGGTATTTCTGCCCTGAATGAAATATGTTACTATAAACGAAACTATTTCCCCCCCTCCGAAATGCAGTAAGTAGCAAGTTTCAAATTAGTGTCTTATCGTATTTTCAAATATCTAACGATTCGGTTTTAGTATCAAAATAAACTCATATATACCCTTTGTAAAATTTTCAGTTTGGGATATCTAGGTTGATAATTTCAAAGAACGTTATTAATTTCAACAATCTCGGGATTTATCAGATGTTTGTATGTGATACGAAGGAGATATTTGGTTTGACGTGATGATTATGTGGAAGGGGATACACGATTAGAGAAGAAGATAAGGATTTGTCGATTGAGAAAATTGATTTGTAGTACTATTCCGATTTGTAATAGAGGGACTATTGCTTTGTTTTAGAGGGATGTTGATTTGCCAAAGAAGGATGTTTAGTTTGGGAGATAATTTAAATTTAAATATATATCGTGTATACAGCTACATGCCAAGTAAGACGTATGTCTATATTTTCTTAATTGACTTCATTAATTAATATTTCTATAAAAATGCTATGTTAGAGTGTTAAAAAGGTTAAATTTACTAGTGTTGTAAAATATTTCTTTTGATTGTTCTCGTATACATATGTGTCAATAAGTAATTTATTTTATATATTTCGAAGATAAGGAACAAAGCGAAGCCTGTTTGTTTGGATGGAAGGGACACACCTGATATCAATAATGTTATCAAATCTTATCCTTGTCATCAGCTCGGCGGAAATCAGGTAAATGTGAAATCCTGCACCCAATACATCGAGGCATCATAACGTGTGCATGATTTATGTGACATAATTGATTACGTGAACCAGATTACTCTCTATAATGTGATGACACAATACTTTTTTTTTATTAATTGTTCGTGTGTGCTGACTTTGCCTTAGTTCGTAAAGAGAGGTTCATTTTCCCTATTCCTGTGTGGGAGAAAACCCAATCCCATAAGATAACATGCACATGCATCAATTGTTTAAATTTGGTTCTAAGAACCACATTATCATTAATAAATGTATCATAATAAACATTGATAGATTTGTTTATATTTCACTGTTTTACCACCTTATTACAGAAGCATTTTACCATTTTCAATTGTAGTTCTGGATTTATATGAAGGACCATTCTTTCAGACGAGATAGACTATGTTTTGATTATTTTACATCTACGAAAGCTATACAACTTATATCATGTCACGGAATGCACGGAAACCAGGAATGGGAGTATAGAGATGTGAGTACATGTATATTAAGGCAAAAGTGATAATATAAATCTTAAAATAGCAGAGACCTTGAATAATCAGCACGGTGTAGATCGAAATGTGAGAATACTATTATTAAGACAATACCACTATTATCACAGAGAGGTAGACGATTTGATAGAACCTAAACTGTATTATAAGTACAGTATAATTTGAGTTATGTTACTGTCAACAGAGTTGTACAGAAATGAGGTGTAAATTCCTCATTTATTGTTTAGAGCCACGCACGATAGTGTTAAAAATAAACCATGTCTATATCTACTCGGATGTTTTGTTTAAAGTAGTAAACGATGTCATACATAAGTTGATATTACGAAAAGATGTAATAATGTGAATTAACTCTGTTTGTTTGAATTCATAGAATTAGTGAATAGAATTTTGGCAAACATGCGGTTTGTTTTTGTAAAAATTGAGATCAAAACTTACGTCAGGGTGACCGTATTGTAAGGACAATCCCAAAACGTCAATATTGCCAATGTTAATTAATTTGAAACTTTAAACAAAAAAGTGTCTATTTTCATCGCATCAAGTTTATTTATCGATGTATTTCTCACCCACAGGACAACACCATATACCATGTGAATACCCAGAAGTGTATAACGCTGGCCTTTGATGGTCAATCTGTATTCATGGAGGAGTGTAGAGGTACCGACAGTCAGCTATGGTTGATGGACAGGAAACCAATAAAAGGCCCGATAATTTAACTTGGCCTTTTGTGATATTGACTTACGTTATATGTGTCGGTAAGACTAACAGAACTATACTAATGTCAGTTAGAAAATTACAATCAAAATTATAATTTGACATAATTAAATGATACATTTTTTTTTCGAAAACAAAACTTAATAAACACACTATTTGAACAAACCTTATTTTGATACTTGTCACTAATAAGTAAAGCCCCGGCGACAGGTAACTCCAAATCTGTCTTAGGTTCAGTTATATTGGAACAGTGACGTCACATTCAACCAACCAACTAATCCAGCAAGCCAGCTATTGGAAGTCTTTCGTGTTCGGCTGCTCTAGATATTCTTTAAGGATGCCCGTACCACTGAAGCAAATGTAACTAAGTATCGAGAATTGCTTCTTCCAGCCTGACTCTAGCTTTGAGCGAGATTTTAATGAAAAATAATAAAGATGAAATAAACAAGATATGATTCACAACAATGTTCTGAGTATACGCATTCTGTGGGACCAGATCAACAGATCAGGAAGCTACGGAAAGGTAAGACGATGTTACTATATATAGGAAAAGCCACAGGGAAGTGGGACAGGGATCCTTAATTATACAGCCTGACTTTGGCTAGAGAGGAGCGACATTTACGTACGTGTACACCCAGAGCACTGTCTACTCTCACTGTATATCATTCTTTGCTAACATCACACGCAAGCAAGCTTAAGTTGTTGTTGTCAGTCGAGTGAGGATAACTTATATGTGCTTCATTAAGGTAACATAAACTGTAGAGACAATGGAAATAATTCTTTCATTCTTTATAGTGTAAGTCTTCTGATTGACCACAATAGGGAGAAGGATTTTTTGTGTAAGGTACGTGAAATGTCCTGTTCTTATTTGAGGATACCTGTATTGCTACCAAACCGTGTACCTATATAATGGAAACTCCTCGCTGGTATGATTATAACTTTATTAAATCATTTCTGAAAAGAAAACAATATCTTAAATGAACTTTCATGAAAACACAATAAGGATAAATATTCAAAACGAAATAGACAATTGTGTTCGGAGTTACGAAGAGCAATAGGGCCAGAAAAGGATTCGAACCCTGGAACGCTGCTTATTGTACTGTCACTCTAACCAACTCAGCTACCCAATCATTGGTAGAACCCCTGGCCCAGTCGTACTACAGACAAAGGCAGTCTCTCAGGCGTCCACGTCGGCGTCCAACTTTCAGTTTATATTTTTTGCAATGTTAGATCACCACACTCAATCCGCTTTTATGAAGATGAGGCAATAGCAATGTGCTGAACCATATATTCGTATTCTAGGGGCAAACAACTCCATTTAACTTGGTAAAGGTTTTGAGCTTTAAGGTAAAATGGCAAGGCTAGGGCATTGGTTAAGAGTGTAAACTTTGTGCTGAACCTTATTTTCATATACTTGAGGCCAGAAGACGATTGATTGGATGTTTGTGTGTGCAGTGTAGGACACCACACTCGTTTGTAATATTCGTATATACATCGACACTTTACTTCAAATTGGCCCATATTTTGTATGGTTACCTACATTGTACGCCAACAAAAGATGTTTGTCAAAATAACAATACCAGCTACACCTAAAATATGCTCAGATAAAAGTATTTCTTTTGATATTTACTAACTTTTAATAATAATACACTGAAGTTTAGGTAGTATTGTTCTTGTAATTTTCTGTCTTTCTATGATTTTCCTCACAGTACGTAACTGCTGCACTGACTAAAGTGATCAAGCAAAAGTTGCTTCAGAATTTCTTTTTTATAATTTGCTCATATATCAGGTACATTTCGATCAATGGGATGATTGCTCAAAGTTGTTATGCTTGATCAGTCCCTTGAATAAACAACACATATCGACATACTTTATACGATAAAATTATGTGTATAATCAATACTTATTTGATAACTCCAAAGGTAGTTAGTGGATAGACTACACAGCTGTGTTAGCCTTTATCACAGTTAATTGTGCTACAGGTTTTCTTGAGTGGGCGTTCAAATCCATCGCCGTAGATATTTTTTCTTGAATTTTTATAATATAGTTTATTATTTTATCAATACTTACATAATAAGTGGGAATGGAAACAGATTCTTATTGTAAATTATGTTGACTTGTGAGTGATGCATACAAAATGCACTTCGTTTAGAGAACACCTTATGCTTGAATATGTATTGTCATAAACCTATTTTTATTTTATTTTATTTTAATTCTTAGGAACCAGTAATGTGATTTGCTATCTTACATCTTGTCATCTAAAATAAGGTTTACATATTGCTAATTTGTTCTTATATTGTTTTATATTTATAGTACATGTTCCGATAAAAGAACTTTTTGTGCACTAATCAAATTATGATTTCAATAAAGAACAAATATGACGTGGACAAATCAAATTATGAAAACAGGTGAGGTAAATAATAAATCAACCAGTGAGTCTAGGAAAATGGTTGAGTATCTTTCGGGAACAACGTTTCAGTATAAGTGTATGAATAATTCACTTTTTCTTATCATTGTGCTTGGAACTTCATGGAGAATTATTTGGAAAACTGCATGGTGGCGACCATGGTTGGAGAGAGTTAATGAGATGAAATACATAATGTTTAATAGTGGTTGATAGAGATAAGAATCTTGCATGTATCGTAGTAGTTGAATAGAGAGTTCATCCTTCATAAAACATGTATTAGGGTAAAACCGTTGACAGTATCTCGGGTTCCAAATATGATGCGCTTACGGGGAATTAACTATCCATCCCCATTAGATGTGAAAGATTCTTTCAATTTTTCAGATAATATTTTTAAATCAATATACATGTATACAATTGACTTTTATTGAGGTTATGGTTATATGGACACATAAATCTTAATTAATTAAGAAATGTTGCACGTATTGAAATTGTACAGAAGAAAGTACTGCATAAAGTAGAAAGCATTGTGACGAGAAAATAGAAATGACGTCATAAAATCAACATTGACCTACTGTTTCTAAACCGAATCGATATTACAAATCAACGACATGCACATGATTATGATCCAATCAATGAGGCTTTGCAGGGATGATGTGTGGCATCTTATATATACTTGTCAATATTATAATTATATAACATAATTAAATATGCCTGATAATCATGTCTATCATGTTGGTTTAAAGCCTGCTACACCTCGGACAGTATCCTCACAGAACGTTTACAACTGCAGTATAGGCGAGGAAGAATGCTGTCGTGGATATATGGTGACTGATTTTCTCCGTCCTTTCATTCCTTTGCCTTTGCTCTCTAGAGAGCAAATGAGTTAATGTTATATAATTATAATATTGACAAGTATATATAAATGAAAGAAAGCTAATTAGCGTTAGTTTGCTCCCTGTTACACGAAGGTGTCGGGGGCCACCTTATAACGCGAAATAACTCTACAATACGAAAAGACGGAATATAAAGGTTACGTCACTTATGCATCATTAAAAGTTACAAGTCTTTGTCAGTTCGTCAACGTATTTTAATAAATATTATTGAAAGTTACAAGTCTTTGTTACATTAAGTTATTTTTGTTAATTACCTATCTAAGGTACAAAATGGTACAATTCAGGCACCATAGTCGAGGGAATCAAGTAGTCCGACTATATCCTTCAGATATGACTTGTTTGAAGACACAATAATAAAATAATTTTTATCAGTATTATTCTATGATCAATGCATTATAATAACGATAATATATCTCTTATGAGCAGTACAAATAATTGTCTATAATGTGATTATTTTATTTTCATTTTTTTTATAAATGTAGTAAATTATTGCAACATACATAGTATACAACAGTGTATTAATATAACAAATTGGTTGGTATTGGAAAGCACACACGAGGTCTCTGCTACATGTACTTTCTACTGAACAGTATCAGAGACTGAATATATATGCTGAAGGGAAAACATTTATTCAAAACAACCACAACAGTTTGGAGGAAATTTCCCAAATACAGTAAAAAGGTTTATGTAAGTATTGAGTTAGGTCATGAATTCGTACCTATATGTGTCAGAAGTGTCGGTTTAGTCCACCTAATGTCAGCTATGTCACATTTAAAATAAAACCAACAACAACAACGAAACACCAAGGGACACTAATTAGCATTATCACAAACGTAGATTTAGTATTGTACAAAGACATAGAACATTTTCCAACGATATCATGATAGCGACCGTTAAACTCAGTCTTCATCAACTTGCACTTCTCGAAACTCTTTGTTGTAAGTTTGTCCGTCAGCATTCCACATCTATCACGGAAACCCTTTGTTGTAAGTTTGTCCGTCAGCATTCCACATCTATCACGGGAATCCTGTGTTGTAAGTTTGTCCGTCAGCATTCCAAATCTATCACGGAAACCCTTTGTTGTAAGTTTGTCCGTCAGCATTCAACATCTATCACGGGAATCCTGTGTTGTAAGTTTGTCTGTCAGCATTCCAAATCTATCACGGAATCCCTTTGTTGTAAGTTTGTCCGTCAGCATTCCACATCTATCACGGAAACCCTTTGTTGTAAGTTTGTCCGTCAGCATTCCACATCCATCACGGTTATTCGGTTCGATTTCGAATCAACTTTATAACGCAGATTCGTATCTTCTTCTTCTTCTTCTTCTTCTTCCACATAATTGCCTCCTTCGTCTTATCGAAGATTATGCAATGTTTATGATACACAATGCGCAGGTGAACACACAATTGAAAAGTTAAGTTTGTAAAAGTTAAAAAGTAAAAACACTGATGTAGTGTCAGACGTTTAAAGCTGGTTGATTCGACCCACCAGCCTTACGCCTAGTGAGTTCGGGGTCTGTTAGAAGTTTAAGCTTTTTTAGTTCCAATTCGTTGAGAGTTTTCTTCAAGGTTTCCAAGTTTGTCGAATTCACAGTTTTTGCGTCAAGTTCGTTCCAGCCTTTTATTGTTCGAGGGAAGAATGAATATTTTCTTGGGTCTATTTTACATGCCTGAATTTGGTATCTATTTAACAATATTATTTGTCAGATTTGCAGATTTGCAGAGCATCGCCATTTGCAGGACAACAAGAATATTGCACAAAGAAAGAGTGTTCCAAGCAAAGACGTTTTTACTACATACAGAATACAAAACAAAAACAGCGGGCACTTTATGCCATGGCTTA